TACGGTCCAGATTAGCGGCCGCAAAAAGAGAAGCCAGAGAAGAACAATTGATGAGTCTGAGGAGAAGTGTGATTGGGGTTGCGAAGATGGGAAGAGGCGATAAAATTAGGACGTATAACTGGGGACAACAGAGGGTTACGGATCACAGGAGTGGGTTGAGCGTGCATAACTTAGATGATGTTATGGAGGGTGGTGATGAACTTGAGAAGGTTATTGATAGCGTCAAAGCATGGTTTTCCGAGCAGGAAATCCTAGGATTGCTTGCTGATGAGGATGCTGCAAGCAAGGCGAAGTAGATGGCAGAATGAAGTACTTTTCATGGGTTAGAATGCTCTCTTCAATTATTCTCCAGATGTTTGCTTCTTTTGTCAAATCATTTATTTGCTCAGTTGCGCCGGTATCCATTCAAACCAGGAGGCAGATTTTATATCTAATTCGATCTAGTAATCCCACTCGAGGTAACGTACTTGGGACACCTTGTCAAAACTCAGAGGATTCAATATCATGACGTATTAAATTCACCAAATCATGTTCATAATGCATATCGCATGAACAAATTAAGAGGTAAGAATAATGAATTCTGACCAGAAGTTATAGTAAAGCCCAAAGAAACAACATCTCCAACAACAAGATGTGCCCCTGCCGCCTATGATCCAAGCATTCCCAACCAAACCATAGCCCGACAATTCCTCCCAATAAGCAAAAGTTCCAAAACCATACTCCATGCCTGAAAGATTACTTAAGCTGGTGGAGCGCTGGTGTTTTGTGTAGCTTCGGTTCTTTGAACGGCTCCAAATCGGGTGTTACCTTGGTCAAAGATCTAAAGAAAATGTCAGTGCTTGGTACAATCAGAAGTGAGCGGGGGATGGAGCTTACAGCATAGATTCCCTTGAGGAAAGTATCGCCAAGAATATCAAACGTCATGGAACCTCTAGATTGGATTCCACCATAAACCATACCATTACCCGCATCCGCAAATCCCAAATCTTCCTTTTGAACTGCGAATTGCTTGCCGCCTACAGCAAAAGTAACGACGGGAAGATCATCAGCACTGGTGTTGCTTGGGAATGTGTATCCTTGCTGTTCCGAATCATAAGTAGATCCTGGGATTGCATCGTAGATGGCTTGGCAAGTCTCATCAGAGACCAATGCAAGAGTAGTTCCGGTATCGGCAATAGCTTGGTTACCAGTCTGCGCGACAGTCTTGCCGTTGACAGTAGCAGATGTGGAGTCAAACATCCAGAATCCTTGAGAGTTGTCGACGGGGGTGTAGTAGATTTCTTTGCTTCCAACGACATCTTGGTCGATGTAGCCAAATGTATAGAAACTGGCGCCTTTGTCGGCTTCGTCGGCATCCCGCCAGCTACCGAGATTCACAGTGAAAAGTTCGGCGTCTGATGGGATATCTTCTTGGCTGATCATGTTCTCAACCGGTGTAGCAACTGGTCTGGGTGTGACGGTGTTGATGCTACCCCATGCGAGACCAAGCAATCCATCGCCGGCACCCTGTTCAAATTGAGCAGACAGTTTGGTTGCAAGCTCGACTGCCTGGTTTTTGATGGCCAGACCACCAAGAGAAACAGTATCTGTTCCAACGGTACCTGAAGCAGAAGAGGAATCACCATATGAGATTTGCCACTTGGAACTCTTGGCAGCTTTGAAGGTGGAAGACTTTGCTGGGTCGAAGATCGTGTGTCCGGTTGCCTTGGAAGTTGTAGCTTTGGGAAGTTCTGTGGACCAGACCTATTCCGCCATGTCAGCTTTTGCTACGAGAATCAGATTTTCGTGTACATACCCATAAATCAGACGATCCAGTATCAAAGTCAAGCATTAGAGTTTGTGCTGGTGTACCAATCTGTACAGGGCAGAGATACTCAGAATCATTTTGTTGGTCTTCGGCTGGGACTTCGCCGTTCTCTCCGGTTGGTGTCTTCTTTGCCAACACACGTTGAGTTTGTGCTTTATGGCCAAACTTATGGAAGCTAGCTGAAGTTGCGGTGGCCTTGTTCATCTGAAAGTATGGACCAGGCTTTGTGGGCTCAAAGCCCCATTTATTGAGTAGATAGACATAGGATTTGGTACCGGATCTTTTGTAGTTCTTGTTAGGAACCAGTCTAATCTTTGACAAGCCTTGGAGAGTAGCCATGTTGAGTATTTGATCAAGGTGGATAGAGGATTTAGTTAATAATAATTCTGTAGTAGGTAGATGTGATTTAAAGATGAATGGTATGAGGAGAGAGTAAGCTGATGAAGGGAAAAGCTGCCTTTAAATGCTGTTAAGCATCGTAACTTTCTCACCTGTAGAGTTCCCTTCCCCCGCTAAGATACCTAGCTTTCAGATGATCTAGCCAAGGCGTCATAAATTTAAGTTCCGTAGTTTCAGGGCAGCTTCCATGCTATGCACGACCGGGGAAGGCGCATAGTGGGTATTGATAAGGAATCATTTGGTGAGGCATACCCCTTCAAGCACGCAGCTGTTGGAAATTGCCAAGATCATATGATTTGAGAATCAAAAAGTCAAATTCTTTTCTTGATGCTATGCATGTACACTTGGACATGATTGAAGGTCTAAATTCGGCCGAATCTTCAACATACTGTATCTCGTGAACGAGTTGAGACGAGATACCCCAAGCACCGAATTCGCCCCTCAGTCAAGATAGTGACACACTGCGAGAGGGGGCAGTGAGAATGATGTTATCCAGGGTACACAAGGTTTATCTTTCGGCACTTCCTTCAAAGTGGATCGACTCGAGACAACAACCCCTCGTCGTACATGATCTGAAGAAGTAACAATTGAGAGAAAGAGAGGCTGTGCCAATAAACATGAGATACTACGCGTAAGCTAACCACTCCACAAAAAACAAGAAATAAGCATCCACTAGGTCGAATTAGATGGAGTAGGAACCACCCGTGCCACTGTATAGTGCCGTTCGTCGTTGTCAAGCTCATGCTATCCAAACATTGGCTCACGACAACATCATCTGGAACATTAAAACGGACAGTATCAAGCTGAAAATTTATTGATTTGCGTTGACAGTTTCTTCAAGGGTATCAACCAAAGAAGTAAGTAAGATATTTGACGTCATTGACACCAATAATAGCTGGCTACAGTGCTTCATGAAGTAGCGTTGATTGATTACCAACTACTGTAAACAAGCTGCGTCGTACCTGAAATACCAACGAGATGTTACACATTGGGAAACGTTCAGTCCACGATATGGTGATTGCGCCGATAGAATCTGGACACACAACATACAGGACACAGGACATAACACACAGCACACCAATATCAAGTAAGCTGGCCAAGGTAGCATTTCCCATCATAGAACCGACAGTATAAAATCGATAGATTGTTCGCATGAATTCGAGATACGGACATGGCGAAGCCTATCTATCGTGCGAATTTAGTGGAGTTGCACATGGGATAAAGCTTCATGACCTTCCGAGCTTCCTTATCAGGAGAAGCCAAACCAAAAGCTTGAATCCACTTGGCACCACTCTTGGTGGCGGGTATCGGGAATCCCCCACCATAGAATGATCCTTGATCCGTCATACCATTCATTCGTCTGTTTCAATATCTTTTTCCAAATGCTTGTTTCTTCTTCCTCCATGAAGCCAAAAGTTCGCATCAATTCGTATCAATTCGTTGTCGTGCTGCTGATCCCATCTTAAGATCAAGAATTGGAATTTATTTTTAACTCCTGGCTCATTGTTCTCTATTTTGAGACATCGCCCCTAGAAATGACGTTCCTTCATTTGGCTTTCATGTTGATTTGTTGATATGATCACCTCCACGGGATATGCAAGACATGTATCGTTTGCAAAATATCTAGCGGTCCTGTGCTGTTGCGCGGCTGACAGCTATGAGCATGGCGATTCAGGACATAGCACCCAGAAGCTTGCCCAAACAAACTTCGGCTGTTATCTCGTGCCTCTTGCAATCTTAAGAATAAGAAGTGTGTTTAAAAACCTTTGTGGTGTGAATTTAGCAGGATCGGAGAGGTCTTCTGATGCACGTGAGGTGCGCGGGTAGCGGATTTGGGTAGACATAGAATTCTTTCACCATGTGCAGTATAATACGCTCCTTGTTTAAATCCCTTTCCCCTCTGCCTTTCGTCAGTAAAAACGGCTCCCATCCATAACTTTGATCGCTGAGTGAGTGATAATCTGCGAGAACGACGGATACGTACCAAACGATACACCTTGCTGCAACTGTACGGACAAGACCGAGCTTTGAGAAAAAAGATGGTGTCGTCGTGACGCCTTCAGTATCATTGAGGTTGATAATGTGCATATCTTACAACGTTGTTGGCGCTTATTATGTATGCTGTGCTGACGGCTTACATCTTTATGCCACACAAAATTGAAAACAAGCTTCTCGCGAATGCACAGCCGTGTGGGGGTCAGTGAGACATCTGAAAATGAAAATAGCATTTGATCATCGTCCTTGGCATGGATTTAGAATGAAGACCAATTTGCCAACGGGCATGATAGAAAATGAGTATCCCGCCGCGTATAGTATCGACATTTTGCATCTCTCAAAGAAGATGTTGAAATTCCATCGTTATATCGGCAATTCAGGGTTGGATAACATGCATATATTGTATATTAATCCTTTCATTAGCGGAATGCAACGGGCATTTACCAGATCATCAAAATCACCAATACTTGAATGCTTGAACGATGTATGGGGATTTGAAGTCCCTTGATCCAACTTGGGTTAGAAGACACCAAGAATATCAGCCCCCTCTTCTCATTCAGTATCTTCACTCCCCCGTTTCATTCTCCCGGCTTGATTGTCATTTCTTTGGACGATATTCTCCCATGTCCATATCAGTATCCAGCCGCACCTCAAATCCTCTCCACCTTCTTCTCCGCTCCATCAACCTTGATGTTTTTTCCCACTCCCACCTCAAACAATCCACTATCATCTTCCTCATTATCTCTCTTCTGTCGTTTCCAAGCATTTATTGTCGTCTGTACAAAAACGCAACTCCAAAATGCTATCAAAGCAAACCAAAGTACCAAAATACACAGATATTCCATCCATCCCAGAAATCCAATCACAAAAAAGACCCAGACCCATGGAATCAAAGGTTGTATGGCTCGGAAGAAATTTGTGGGTGAGTTGGCGGGAAGACAGTTGAATTGGATGTAAGAATAGCCGCAAGCCCAGAAGACGAAAGGTGTGAGGAGGGGCACTGAGATGGAGAGAATCAGGCTGTTCGACATAATGAGGTTTTGGCTGGAGTTGCCAGTGACACAGCCAGATTCCATGTTGCTTTTGGCTAAATTGCCAAATGTGTACTTGCTGCAACGTTTTGAATCGTAGACTATATTCGTTCAAGAAAAGCAAAGACTCAGAAGGGAATGGAAGCATATATTCCTGGGATTTGAAACATCCTTAGGCACATTGCAGTTTCCAGTTTCCACAAACAAAGGTTGAATGGGAAGTTTGTTTCGTGAGCTGTACAACGGCAAAGTGCTACCAAACTATTCACTGGTTGTTTGCTATTCTGTGCAATCTGTTGGATATCAATCGTGGACAACCAAGCTCCTGTCATCTAGCGATGGAAGAGATGGATTACTTAAGGTATTGGGCGCGTTCGTTTCTTGCTCGCTGCTAAGATGTGACGCTTCCCTACTTCAAAGCCTCTTTCATCACTAACCCTTTCCGAGAGAGATAATCTTTTGATTCTAGCTAATTTATATAATCTTTCTGTAATATTTAGCATACCAAGCGCCCTTGACAGTGTTGCGTGTGACGAAGTGAATCCGCTTCAAAAAAGGTATATTCGAGCATAACATCAATCAGTGCCCTCCCTCTCGATTGTTATTGTGGATAGTAAGCCAGCTCGATATTGCTCTGCTCATCAGAGAAGCACAGAATAGAAAACATTATAGCTACGTAGTTCAAATAAGATAGGAAAAGATATGATTTAACACAATCAACTAGTTGTGAACCTTCACATGCAGTAGGCCATCCATCACATGACCGTTTACCATTTTCCCGCCCTTTACGTGATGGTGTGGTATTGTGACAACCGTATGGTAGAATTTTGTGGGAATCTTGATGTTAAAGAGCCCGTCACTCATTGTTCAGATGAATATTTTGAAATAAAACAGATCTCAAGCAACGTAGATGTCAAAATATGGCTAAGAAACTCCTCGATATCGTGATTGGATTGAAAGCTTGAATCCACGTACCTCTGGATAACATGCATGAGTCAAAATCAGGAGACAGCATCTCACTAGTATCATATGATTATATGTATTTCAGAAACATTTTCCGAGAGAAAGGAAGGGTCTCCCTTTTGTACGAAGTACTGCAAGTAGACGTGAAAAGGGTTTGGGGCACGGTCCACAACAATTCGATTTTCAATCTAGCTGGATCCCAAAATCATGTGACATAACTCAAGCTTAAGCACTCTAACAAATAGCAATTGGAACAATTTTGATTGGCTAGATTTCTGGCAAAATAATCGAGATTTATGTGTTTGCGAAGGCCGGGGGGAAAGGAGTGTGTTTATTAGTATGCCTTCTCACGTTCAGATATTTTTGCTAATATCTCGTTTCAGGCTTTGTATGCAATGCACACGCAATATCATACCAAGCTGTCGTAGCACGGCTAAATATCGGCCCCATACTTGCACGTGATATCAGCACATCGAACCTCACTTGCCTCGACAAGAAATTCTGCTTCGGGTCTCTTAGGCTCTGGCACCCTTCACTTCAAATAACCCTCGAGATTTAGAGCGATTGTATTGATGGGGGATTTTCATAGCTTCGGTGACAGAGAATATTAGTAAATGGTACAATTGGAAGATGTAAAGTATTCGACCAGTTCCCTTCAGATATACGAGTAGATGGCTTCTTCGCTAATCCAAACCATACCTCACATCTGGACATCTGTACATCCATGGATCCAGGGCGAGACTGATCTTCGAGTAGAAGCTCCATCAATGAATGACTCAACGCTAGGTAATGCGAGATGGATGATGCTCTTCTCTTGACTGTTACTTCGTAGTTGATCGCAGCTCTCATCGAACAGACGTATCACATGCATACGGCCGAAACACGCAGAAAGAATGCTGAAGCTGTGGTCCAAAAGATAAACTTCTTCAATACGTTATGTAAATTGGTAAACCATATCTTGATCTGTCGACATTACGTCTCATTCCAAGCAGTGACAAGTGTCTCGGTGGAGCTTGCCGGGAAATGGAAAACATGGACCAATCTAGTACCTTATTCCGGGAGGTAAGATTCTTCATCCCTTCCTGCGAAGCTAAACTCATACCATTTGGTACGGGAATATTGATGAACTGTAATGATGGAATTAGTGTTCTCTCATGCCTCCTCAAAAGACTTACTTGAACCCATTTCTTTAATTGGATCAAATATGGGTGCACTTTTTTTTCACAAGGTATTTTCGCCATTGGATAGCTATAAGTACATTGGGGACTCATATCGAAGTTTGTGTCTTTAGGTTCACCAAATAAGCCTTCAGTCTTTTGAAAGTCTAAACCCGGGAAAGCGCCGGTGTCTCGTTGTTTCATGGAGAAGATAGTCGTCCTGCAATGTCTCTAGTATTTTAGAGATTATTTGTCAAGAATATCGGTATTTGTAGATTGACCAAGGAAGCCTTAAAGTAATATCCCATCTGCATCTCCAGGACTGTCGGTTGTTTGCCCTCTAGCGAGGACCATACTACCCCAGTGTTGCAGCTCAGGTCGATATTCATATACGACCCTTTTCCTCTTGGGAGGATAGCATGCGATATGGAACCCAATATTTGAGTCTTGTTCTATGCTGGATAATTTCTGCTCCTTTTCGACGCTCAAAAGCTTGTAGTGTTTCAATTGAACTGCAATATATCAACCTAATGAGATCGTTAATTCTGGACAAAAATGGTTTAACCATCAGCTGACCTACAGTATCAATTGTATTCCATTCTTTTTTAAAGAGCCAGCAGCTCCGTATACCGATTTTTTGGCAAAATCTAATAATAGGTCACCAAATCGTCGTGCGATGACCAGGTGGCTCAACTTCCAGTCTGTTAGAATGACGGATCTTTTAATCTTCAATCTAGGAAGCGTGATACTATGGCACTGTGCGACACGAACTAGTCTTTTTTTATTATCTGATGCGCGATAGTCATTTTCTTGTCAACTGAAAGGGAAAAAACAGGAGAGAAATCTTCGTACCCCGATCTACTTGCGCCACGTGGTTGCGAGTAATAACTGTTAAGTAATGTCGACGATATATTTGAGATACCTAGCTAAAAGTCTCAATATTTGTTTGTTTTGAAGAAGGAAGAGTGCAAGCGGTATATAACATGCCGGGTGTAAGCAAACGGTATGGCGGGTCAATGCTGATCGGTCTCTACATGGCCCGTTCAATTCACCATTTCACGCGAAGAGGATGTATATGATCTGTTTCAATGTCACTTTCTCAACCAAGCATGCCAACATGTTTGTGCACTTTGATGGCGCAGTGGATAAAGCGCCGTCTCCTTGACGGAAACTTGGCGCGGCTCGATTCGCAGTTCAGGTTCTTGAAAGTCCTTCGGGATAATTCGTTATATGTGGGGACTTCTGGCTTCTTTAAATATTCCATGTTGTAGATTTGACTTCTACCCGCTATTATGGTGGTATCTATGGTGGTATCTCAATCTTTGATTGAGAACGGAATTTTTTGCTCTTTTTTGCCCTTCCCAAGTGATCCACCAGGCACCATTCTACATCCTCATTTTTCCAACACGTTTTCCAATATCCATGGATCTCTTGAAACATTTGCAGCTTCCGCATACCTATAGAATCTTACAGTTTTACAAAGCTAGGCCAGAGCTATATCTATCCACGTATTATTACAATTTTCTGCGAAAGACCTATTCCATTAACTCAAGCTGCAGACATGACATTGCCATGCATCAAATCCTACTGCGACCCTAGCTCTCTGCGAGCAAGCGACTGATTATTCCAATTAGGTAAGTTGATATACGCTTCTTGCAACTTACCTTAATACACCTTGCCCCTTCTACGAATTCACATCTCACAAAACAATCTCTCCCTCAAAAGGGTTTTAATCAACTTCACCACCATACTAAATTTACTCCATCTACAATCCATACCAAAGAAACAACAAAACTTTTCATTTCCGCCCCGGCCCTCCCGATCGCCTTCTTCTCGCTGAATGTAAGCTTTAGACAACGCTCCTTCTCAAATTTATCCAGATCGATCGCAGATATCATGTGTCCGTTGATTATATCCATAGATATGAGCTAGATGACAGATATAAGGAGTTTTTGGCAGCTTAACTATTAGGACACTTGTATCGCTTTTAGTATCTTGAATTTCCAGCTCCATTGCATCCGATGAAAGGACAGAATTGGTTTCCCTGGCCAGGTTTGTCTTAATATAATTCACCGACAGCATCGGATCGAATTGACCATTTTCTTCGGGATTATGTACTAGAATCGTGATTCTCGTGAAGAAGTTTCAAGTACAGATGAGTGCTGAAGAAAACCTGCGAGTGGAAGGCGTTGATATTGTTGAGATTCAGCAGTATTGAAGCCTTTAAACTTGGTTCTAATAACAATATACAAGTGAACATTTACCATAGATTAAGGTTGAGCCACTTTTTCTGGGAGATGACTGAATTCAGTTGGTTCACTTGCATATAATTAATCCATTGGCGCGTAGTTGCAGCAAAAGTTTGGTGACGTCAACAACATCCCAGTTTCTTTCAATTCGATGGTACTTTGATAACATCCATAGCGACAGTTCTAATGACCTCCTCACCAGTAATCCAATTTATTTCCAACAGCACCTCTGTCTGTGTCCCATTTTCCATGAGAAAACACTCAATCCTCCATCTCCTCACTTCAACAATTCTCTCTAGCATCCCACATCTCTATCGCCGTCTTTTTTCTAGCTATCCGCCTTCCTTGACTCGAATTCTCTCTCATCCCATATTTCCTCTTAATATCATTATTCCCACTAATCTTTCTCTTCTTCCCCCCATACCAACTCCCACTCACACACCTTTTCTTCCCTCCGATATAATTCGCACCACTAACCGTGCGTTTCTCCCTCCAACTTCCAACATCCCTACTGCCACTACCCTCACGATTTCTTTTGATCTTTTCCGACGTATTAGAAACCGATCTCTTTTGAAAATAAGCCTTACGGAACAAATCATCAGGATTAAGCCATTGCAAGCAAATTTGATGCATGGGTTTTACTTTCGCCTCTCCCTTGCAAGGAGATCGAACCGACCAGTCCCAAAATCCAAGAAATTTATATGCGTTCTCCAGTGCTTGGCGACCTTTAG